ACGTTCTGTGATTCTGTGATTCTGTGTTCCACCCCCCAATTTAAGAAGAACCACAATGAGGGGATTTTTGCAAAGGTTTGGTTTAATTACTTCATCTATTAGCACTTCACTCTGAAAGACCTGTCATTGGCACCATTCTAGAGCAAGCAAAGGATAGTAAGACATTTCTCAACTGTTTTTCTTTGGTATTTTACACATATCTCTCTAATATCTTTTCAAGGGATTCCTGGAATTTTGGTTGATTTATATCTTCCTGCATTTGTCTTGCCATTCATGGGACAGACTCTTTATTATCTTTCCTCTTTTTTATCTGTTAATATAACATCAAAAAATACAACATAAACTAGCAACATTATAATAATAATAGGTAATAATATAATAATAGGTAAAATAAGACATAATAATCAAAATGCAGACTTGATTTTTTACAATTTTCACCTTCTTTCCTTCCTTCCATATTTTATTCAGAATGTGTCAGGGCTCTACGCAGAAATAGATGGAGCAAAAAAGGAATTGCAAGAAAAACTAGCCAATCTGTCTCTGTTTGATGATGATTTGGTAGAAAAGGCTATGCATCATGCACTCAACCTAAGAAGACTTGCTGATCAGCTGGACCGGTAAAATTTAACTTCGGCAGACTCTGTTCATACAAATGCTACTGATTGAGCAGCTGAATGAACTAAAAGACAAGCAGAAACACAGTGATATTAGATATACTGTTTGTAAATAGGCACTAAACAAATCACTGTTAAGTCGTATATGCAAGGACTTGTCAAGGTCCAGAGGGAACAGCTGAAGTTAAGCTAACCAAAATCTATTAATCTTTTCAAAGAATAAATAAACTTACATCTTGCATGACATTCTCTCCTTTCTAATTTGATGTGTTCTTTTCCCATAGCAAGAGAATAGAAAAGGTAGATTACTCAAAAGTAAAATAATACAGGCAGATTAAATGAGGTTTGCAGAAACAGCTCATGTCAGTAAGTTCATTCACATTAAAAAATGTTTATAATTATGGTCCAAAAAATGGGCTTTGGGATAATTTTAGTTCAAGAACTGGTTTACAGATGGAGTAGTTCTGATATTCCATAGGATGTGTCCCAGTGAAACTGGCACACTGTAACACCAAAAACTTACTGTAAGTCTTTCTTGTTTGCTGGAAGATACTAAATGCATCAACTTTCACCCAGTTAAAAAAAAAAGTCACTTTTAGACAGATTTTAAATATTACTTTATTTGCAATTGGGGCTACTCATGGAAAAAATCACTACCACAAATATTTCACCAAATTGTTCCTTAAATAATTTCATGGACATATGGTTTTGGAAGATAAACTTAAAGCTATTTTTTAAGTATATAATCTAAATACCAGTTGTTTCTTAATATTAGTATGTCCTAGATAGGAGATTAAAACAGGGGAAAAAAAATAACAGATGGATTTCTTTTATACAGTTGTATAAAGCTGACATCTGAAATTCTGTTCTATAACACCACACAAACTACAGACAGCCTAAAAAACAAACAGTATGTTCAGTCTGAGATCAGCTAACTGAGGGCAGCAGAATCACTTGAAAGAAAATACTCGATATGGCTAGCCTTCCTCCCTTACCAAAATAGTTTTAAAGTGACTACCAAGGCTAACACATTAGGAATTTAATAGCAAGCAAACAGAAATAATTATGAAATATCCAGATGGAAATGTGCTGACTCTTTTATTTGTTGAGAAGACTGTCCTGCAGTGAAACTTTAATCCCTTAAAAAATTTAGGCTGACTTCAAATAATTTTGATTTTTATGGGTTTGCTTTATAAGCCTGTTAGGCTTTTATTTGGTAGAGTTTCATCTTTTGTCTCGGAGGAATATAGCAGGAAATTCTTTCTACAACATCTGTAAACTTAATAAGACCTCAGTGTGCAAACTCTTTGAATTGAATGTATGCACATGTATGAATGCGTGTATACATATATATATATATAAAGTATATATCTAACATAAACTCTGAATTCTGTTTATGGCAAAAATATAAAAAGTTAATATTTATTCAAAGTTGCTAACAGCTGAAGTTTTAGTCCTAAACCAACTGCTGTTTGCAATCTCCCCTGAAGACCAGTTATCACCTAGTATGCAAATCTACCTTGCATTTTTGAAATCTAACTTTTTGCAACGTTTCATGATAATGGGCAGTTCTTCATCTGATCCTCCCCCTTTTCCCACCTACTGTTGGAAAGTATAAACAGCCTAGCAATACAGCTGTTATGATCACTGGCAGAGGTCTTTCCAGTCACAGCCAGGAGTTACTCCTAAAGAAGGACAACTGATAGATTTTATTTTGTTAATTCATGGAATATCTAATCTAGATTTAAAAAGATAAATGCTCAGGACTCACTTGTTGCTGCTTACATAGATGTTAAGGGCAAAATTCCCAGAGTTAAACCACTGAGAAGTACCTTCCATCCACATAGTTTTCACCCGCTTCAGGCTTACATAAATGGCCATATACAATTAAAAGAATACTACTAAGGCCATATTTATGTGCACGATTATGAAGACAGAATTCACAGAATGTTAAGAAAATGGATCCACTTGAAACTACTTCGATTCAGTTTGGTTTCTTCTTCCTTTTACTCTCTTTTTAACAGGAACTTGTATGGTGTTGATACAAATGGATTGGTACAAAGGGCAATAAATGCTTCAAATGTGTATGAAAACATTGCCGGTTATGTTGAAGGAGCTAATAAAGATGCATTGCTGGCATTGAACACAACAAACCGGGTCAATGATGTAAGTAATTTTCATAATATCAGCTTTTACTTTGCAATGCTTCAGTGACTTTGGACACCTAAGTATAAAGAAGAAAAAAGGTTTAGTTTAACCAACAGCATTGAACTTCTCACTGCACATTTTGCTTCATCTACTGTTTCCTGAATTAAATCCTAGGTGGTTAATTATTCTGCCAGCCTAAAGCCCCCTGGTATTCAAAATGATGCAATAAGTTCTTCTGTTCCTAAGTACAGGGTGACACTGCTCTGTGTTGTCACTTAAATCGAGGCATTCCTGTGAAAGTCCAGAAATCTCCCTGGCCCTATAAGGAACCTGAGCTGGCATTTAGCACTCAAGTCCTCCTACTGAAAACAGCGCCATGTGGCAGGAAAGATGGTGAAGACATCTAACAGAGGCATCACTCTTTCTCATAGAAAGTCAAGTTAAAATGGGGCAAACAGCCCACTTACACACTCAGAGGAGGGATGAGGATGCTAATTTTGCCTCTGGCCTTGCTGTTCTAAAATGTTTTATATGTACTTTTGTATTATATAATTTCCAACCTCTATAAATGCTACTTAACAACATTTTATTAATGGAGTAGCAAGAGGATTTGGTTAGATTACAGGAGCCCGAACCCCAGGGAGCTGTGATATTTCAAGTCCAACCTTCTGCTTCCTGCATGCTACTAGGGACTGCAAGGCAGCTCCCCAAGCAGTGCAAGTGTTCATCACCTGTCTGAGAGGACAGTAGAAGTGAACAGTTACAGTGCCTAACTAGCATGGAGCATGAGTATCACATTGACCATACTGGAGTTGATAAATTAAGGAGACTTTGTTATTCATTGTTGTTAGCTGGAAAGGCACACATTTCTCTAAACTTCAATTGCAATCTACAGAAAATTTTGCTTTTCAGACTTTTTTCCCTAATCCAGTTGCCAATCTTAAATGTTGACAAAGCTAATAATACTTCAGTGACTTTGAAGTTGCATTTGTATGAAATAATATGTTGTCCACAATTAAGAGGACCATTTGGTAAGCATTATTCTGACTTTCTTTTTTGTAACATACTCATAGGCTGCAGTTGGAATTGATACTCAGATCATTTACCATAAAGGTAAAAGCGAAGAACTTCTCAACCAAGCCATGGAGTTACAACAGACAGCAGATGACAGTAAATATACATCCCTTCTACTTTTCTAGTCAGTTTATGAGCATGCATGTTAAAATGAATTTCAAAAGCACATCACCAAGGCAGAGCTACTGCTGTAACAGAAACGTGTATTGATTGAAGTTACAACACAAAGTACTTGAAATGGCCACAGGCACAGTTTGAGTAGTTCATGTGCTTTCATCCTGCCAGATGCTGAAAGTTTATTTCATGTACAAAAGGACCATTTCAGATGGTTTAAATGTGATTCTGCAAACAGTTGTTCACACATAAATATACTCAAATCAAGAAGTTAAACTGAAATCAATGCACAACAGTGTAAGTGTTCAGAAAGCTAGATTTCACCAGTGAAGGGAAATAATAAATGTTAAATGATTTTGTCCTTTTTTCACTTTTTTCACTGAAAATGAAAGAAAGCTGTACAATTACAGAAATTACCTGTTCAATTTTTCAAGACGTTCTGAGTTCCCTAAAACTTCTCCTGTATACTTGTTGCAGCTATTCTCAGCAGCTCTGGCAAAGCAAATAGAGATAGTACTGACTGGGATACAGGTCTCCAGATTTTTCTAGGAAGCGCTGTGGCAAGCAAGCAATGGCTGGGAGCTGCAAGACTGCTTTTTCCTTTAGACTATTTGAAGTCCAGAGCCCTAGTATGCCCTATACTAAAAAAAGCTATATTACACTGTCTAAGGTGTATTAGTTGCTTAACAACCTAACTCCACAGGATAAAATGTAGCTTTTTAAAATGTCACTTAACTATACCTCCCATTTTCTTCCCACAGGTAACGATTTAACCATTGCAGACACTAGCCGTCATGTTAATGGCACTCTTGCCAGAATGAATGCTCTGCGAAGCCACCTGATGAAAGCCATCACAAAAATGCAATCAGCAGAGCTAGGTTGTAAGAGGAACTTCATCTTTATGATGCTTTATCTTCATACATTAAAGAGCATATTTTATCTTTGCATATGGTCTATGAAGTTGATATTAAGATTTCAGTCCCAGGGAGGCCTGAAGGAATTTGACTGAAACTACAAGACCTAGACAGCAAACATCCAGCTATAACACATTCACAATGAAATTATATGTTTTGCCACTTGAAACTATTAACATTCTTCTTGATCCTCCTTACTACAGTGTCTTCTCCCACGTTACTCTTTATCTTTTCAGGGCTTGGAGAACCTACAAGTCTGTGGATTTATTGTACTGATAGTCAAAATCTAATTCACTATACATCACACCTGGCAAGTAGAGTATTTGGGAGGTAATTTCTGGCAGTCTTGATTGACAAAAACTCACCCTAGCTTTTCAGAAAAGATACATCATATTGCATCCAGCAAGTATATCTGAAGGTGGTCAAAGTCGACATGGTCAAGATTTCTTCATTAGCTTCAACTAAAAATGTCTGGGTTTTACTGCCAAGACATCATCATATGCAAAATGACACAGGTTTTACAAATACAGTAGTTGGTAACTCAAAAAAAACCACAACCTCCAAAATGCCAGGTATGAAAAAACAAAACTGCTTCAGTGTCTTGCATTTCTCTCCTTCAAGAATAACTTTCATGAAAAATATTCAATGAGTGAAAAATATTCAATGAATATGTGCATTTTTTCTTAAAATCTTGTTGAAAAACTGTATTTTTTCAACTCGGTTCCAACTTCCTTGGCTATCTAATATCCATCACAATCCAAGGGCATTGAAAATTTCTAACAATCTATAATGGAAGTGAGAATTTGTTAAATTTTAAGAATTAATAATATGACTGTAGACCAATCACAGGAAATTTTGAATATTCCCTGTGGAAATAAAGAGGAAACCAACCAAGCCAGGTTGGGTCCCCACTGTACAGACAGGAAAATCCACTTAGCCTCACCACTTTCTAAGTACTGGTTATTGCTTGCTTGAATCTTTGAAAGAGTTCATTTCTTCTTATCCCCTATTTATGTTGTAGTGGAGGCCAGAGAGCGCTTGGAGCAAGCTAAACTGAAGGCTGCAGAGGCCGTAAGTGCTACCATAACAGTAACACAGGCTACAGCCCCCATGGATGAGAACGTCAGGTTGTGGTCTCAGAACCTGCAAGACTTCCAGCACAATTCAGTGGCATATGACAGTGCTGTGCATTCAGCTGGGGATGCAGGTATGGTGACCTGAATCTTGCCATTCTTTAGCATTACGAGGTTAGGGAATCATCACAATGTCATGTTGTATGAATAATTTATTTACATTGCATATCCATTGCATATAGTTTTCTAGCATTTTACCTCCGTGAAAACATTTCAAAAATTAGCAGTTGTCTAGAGACTTGACTGTACTTTAAAACTTCTGGATACCTAGGCATTTCCAAAAATTACTTAAAAACTCAAAGGATGAAGTCTTATTGGCTTCTAAGTCTCTTTACCAGGGTGCCATGGTCACACTGAGCAGTAGACAGCTTGTTTTGTTTAAATACTTATTTCTATTATGATTTAAATACTTCTTTCTGTTATGATTGACAGTTAAGTTATGATTTTTTAACACTGGGCTGCATTTGAAAACAGGGCCCTTTTGTTCTCAGTAGTACAAACATGGGGGAGAAATGGCCCCTGATTTGATGAGCCTGTAGTCTAAACAAAGCGAGCAAAAAGGATTAGGGAGGAAGTATAATATTTAAGCAGGGTGATTGCTGGAAAAGCTTGTAAACATCATATTAATTCCACTTTTATTATCAGGGAAGAAAGAAGAGTAGAGTAAAAATTGGAGGATTTGTTATGAAAAATTTAAGGTAAATAAAAAGACAAAAGAAAAACTGAAAATGTAATGAAAATAATAGGAAAGCACAGAAAAAGAGGCATGGATAAAGAAGCTGAAATGAAGTGACAGGTGAAAGAAGAAAAAGAACAATTAGGAAAGAAAAGAATCAACCTAGAAATGAGAATATCTGGAATAAAAAATTGCTGACAATCACCACTATTTATTTCTCAATGTATTCCTGGATCTGCTCAGGAGCCCCACTAATCTCAAGTTATTCACAGCTAGGGAAGCTGGAAATCCAGAACAAGAAATTTCCTGCATACGTTTGATGATATGTACCGTCACCTGTAGCACTGCTATGTGATGTTCTGCCTCCTGAAAGTGCCTCAGAGAAGGTCCATAACTCCACTGCCGCCATCTTCAGAAAGTCTGAATCCCAGATCTACTGCCCCAAATCCCTTATCCTTCAATCAGGAGCTTTGCAACTTGAGTGTCATTTTACTGCAAATGGTGTTATGAGTACCAAAACCAGCATTGCTTCTAGTGCCCCAAAGCCACATTATTCCCTCAAAACCAGGGAAACCCAAGGGTCATGTTATTTCCATAATTCAGTAATGGATAAGACCTTCACACTAATATTTTTGCTTGAGTGCTCCCAAGAACTGATATAAAAGTGGTTCCCTTCACAAGAAGAAATTCAGTACTATTCAATATCCCAACTTCTGGCTCCAGAACTGGAGGCCGCTCGTGTTTCTCTGAGCATTTCATCCAAAGGCAATACTGAGCCCACTGCGAGTCACTGCACAGAGCTCCATAAGGGTGTAATTAATCTAACAGTAGTTGTATTGTATTCCTCAAAATTGGTTTTGCTCACCACAGAGCACAGTTTAGGTTGTGGGCTATGGGTTCCAACTCCTATTTAAGGCAATGTAAATGTGGATATGATTGGCATCCAGGGAGAGAATGGTATGAGGAAAAACATCTAAGAGAAACAGTCTGCTATAGCTTACACATGAAGGTTATTGTTTTTATTCACCTTTAAACTTGATGTACATTTAACATTTACCACTGCCAGCTTAGTAGATAGAGCAGCAACACAAACTGCATTTGGCTCTTCATGCTCAAAATGTCAGCAGACATTCAGGATTTTAAAAATCTGCTTATACTTGCTGTTATACTGGAAGTAGCATTCAAGAGAGACCTAAGATGTCCCAGCTCTCCTAGTCAGTTATGTTCCCAAAAAGGCATGTACCACAAGTTGTAAATAACAGTTCAGCTTACATGTGATGTGCCTGGCAAAAATGTCTTCTCTGTGACAGTGGGTTTGCAGGCAGGGAGTCACCTTGAAAGTATTGTGATCACATCAGAATGCCTGGAGGGCCTGCTGACCACTAACTAACTGTTTGAGAGATGCTAATGTACAAACCATCACATTACATTTCTGGAGGCAGCTTTTCCATGGCATTTTTGGTCTGAGGGCATTTTTTTGTTTGTTTGTTCGTTTTAAGGCACAATGATTTTTCCCAGAAAGATCAAGTGGAAATAGCTGAGAATACAGAGCAGTGCTACAAAGGAGGCTGGCATGGGTACTGCTCCTGTCAGATGTGACTGTGATTCTCAGCCTGGGAAGACAGATGTAGACATGCAAGGGCATGGTGGAGTGCTCTAAGATCAGCTGCGTATGTTGCCAGGAGAGGCTGATCTGGCAGAAGAAATGTCCAACAAAGTCCAAAAGAAAGTCACAAAAAGTGTTCAGACAGGTGCCTGAACCACCAGAACACCTGATCAGCGTGCCAGTAACACCACCATGGCAGCTGAAGCCTCTAAGCTGACATGTCTGGATTGCCTCTTGCACTTGATTTTTGGAAGGGTGAAAGCATGTCTTGGCTGTGCAGTTTGTCTGAGAATACTCCCTGTGTCGCCACTGCACAGGGAACTGGTGGGCTTCAGCAGAGAGGATGAAGGACAGTTCGGAAAGGAAAACACAAAAGGAGAAAGTGTCTGGAAAGTTATAGTCAAGGTATTTCCTCCTTGACAGTTGCCCTTGTACTCTTTTTTTGTATCTTATCACTGGGCAAGACTAATTGTCCTTTTTCGGTCTCATCTTCATCTCAAAAGACTAAAATAAAAAATCAATATTCTCCTATAGTGAAGAATGCCATTATAAAGGACAAAAGGAAGAGATTTATGGTGAGATTTCAGAATGGTACTAGAAGTAATAGACGTTAGTTTTGTGTTTTCATGTCACAGTTGTGTTTCAAGTTTAATACCTCAAATTTCAAACAGATGAAAAGCCAGTTTTTCAGAATACCAGATCAGATACAATTCCAATTCAGTTGCTCATTATTAAAAAAAGCTGGTTGAAATTTGCTAAATCACTTTGCATTCTTTTTTACTTTAAGAATAATGTGGGGTTTTTTATAATGACATGGAAAATTCATTTCAAAAGCCAGAGAAAATTTTCTGTAAATTGATTATTGTAGTTATTTTTTTATTGTAGGGGTTTTTTTTAAGTAGAAAATTTGATGCATTCTGCAATTAATGTGTTACTCAGAATTCATTGTATTTCTTTGAAGATTTGCTAAAATAATGGCATTTTAATGTGACTGTGGCAAATACAGCTTTTCACTCTATCCACAGAGAAGCAGAACTTGTAGAACTCCATGAGATCTTCTTATACTCTGGCTGCTTCAGCCTTTAGTCAGCACAGAAAGGTGATTGAGTAGAGGCTACTTTTCCTTCCTTCTTTCCTTTCTATACAGTCTCAGACTCAGTACATCTGAGGATTGGTTCCTCTACCTTTCTCTGCTGTTTTCTCAGATAAGAGTAAATATATGAGGGGAAGGACACAAGAGCAGGCGGACACAAGTTGACAAATGCTAAAATATAACTGCAAACACCACAAATCTGGTCTTAACCCTTATAGTGAATCCATGTCATTAAAAATTAACTATGAATACTGGATCTTTCTTATATGCATGTAGCTTGTGGCTAAAATCACATTTCATTATACTCAGCTAATTGTACCTACATCTAATTAAAGATGAAAAATGATGTGATGTGTAAATAACCTTCAAAGGGCAGCATGTCATTGGAATCTGATGGGATGAATTTGGATCATAATCAGGGGTAGTTATTTTTCTTTCTTGGTAGTTTTTCTGTCTGCTTATCTTTCTGGGAAATGACTTCTCTCCCTTTGCACACAACAAAGCACCTGCATTTTCCTTTGATAACAAACCTTCTTGCACGTGTATCAGAATACACAGCAGTGAAAGACCGAAGGTCAAAGACCTCTGGCAGATGTAGGTAGGAAAGCTGAAGAGGTTCCTGTTAGCAGAGTGAGCTGTGAACTGCATGCAGACACATGCACCTGTGCACCTGTGCTATCTGGGTGATAACCTTTGGGAGAGATGCACAGCTGAGAGCTGAGGAAAACAACCTACTCATTTTCCCTAAAATTAATTTGAAAAATTCATGAACCACAGCTCCTAGATGCAGTTCCCAGGTCAGCCACAGATATCCAGTAAGATGCTGAACAAATAATCCTTCTGCTCCAGTTGTCATATCTGCAAAACTGGGTTTAACGTTTATCTGCCTTGAAGGAAGATGAAAAGGTTAAGATGATTAACATTTGCAAAGCTCCCTAAGGAAAGTATTATAGAGGTACCATTCCATGGCAGTACCTAGGAGTCCCATGAAAAAGTCTCCTTTGTGCAAACGCCTTTCAAAAAACTTTTGCAGTACTAGAGTCTGATAAATCACTACGCTTTCTGAAATCACTGACTCACATACACCATGGTTAGGACTCGTTCTTAAAGCAGAAGGAGACAGATAAGTTAACTTAAGAGGGTAAGGAGCAATTTCGCTTGTGGAAAACCAGTGTTACAAAGAGAAAAAAAAAACCAAGCTGTCACTTCTTTTCTAACTGCAGTGAAGAAACTTACAGAAGTCTTCCCTCAGCTTCTGGACAAACTGCGCAAGGTAGAACAGAAGGCGCCAGCCAACAATATTTCTTCCAGCATTCAGCGGATCAGAGAGCTAATTGCTCAAACCAGGAGTGTAGCAAGCAAGGTAAAACTTTTGGATGGGACTTTTGGTTATTAGTGCTAATAATCAGATGCATCTTACTAGGAGCTCCATTTGCTCAGGCTATGTTAGAAGTCCAAACCTTGACATTATCTCCTCCTAACAACTGGATAAACAAAGTACAGTGGAAGCAATTAAAATCTTTACGGTTGCTATTTGCAAGCAATTAACATTACTATGGTATTCATGGTAGACTACTGCTACTGTGGTAGCAATTTTAATTAAGTAATTGGACAGTGTTAAAGTTGGCACTTTATGAAATGAAAACCATTTCAAGCTCAAACTTGGAGACATGGTTTAGTGGTGGACTTGGCAGTGCTAGGTTAATGGCTGGATTCTGTGAGGTCTTTTCCAACCTAAATGATTCTATGATTCTAATAAGTCATTACTCAGCTGGCAACATTAGTTACAAGCAGAAGTAATTATGGCAATTTAATGCAAACATTTCTGAGATGACAGTATTTCTTTTTTCCTTTTCAATTAATTTTCTGCAGGGGAAGAGAATCTTTGGCTCATACATATTTAATAGAGAAAATCCACGAAAAACACTTTCATTATCATACATAAATTATGAGGGATCTTTCTGTAACAGAAATACTGAGGTCAAAAATTAAGACAGTATATTTGAATTAATTCAGAGAAATAAAAAATGCAGTGCATAACTGTGTGTTCACAAGACTGGAATATCAAAAGAGAAAAGCAAAATTCAGTTAGTATGTGTGCAGTACTTGACTGTTCTTTAAATATATTTTGTCATTCAGGCACATTGTGCATAAACTTGTAAACATTATTTCTGTTATGTTGAAGGCATTTTGAACTACGATGAATATGTTTTAAAGATTTATTAGCATCTCGTATGTATCATTGTAACTTTAGTAATATAACAGGATTACTCGTGAACAGAAAATTGGCCATACCACTCCCAAAGCAAAGAAATAAATTACGGGTGGAAGTTTTATAGCTGTGTAAGAACTTCATTATGTGCCATACAGGATGGAGTAGACCTGATTCAGCTAAGCACACATCTATGCCCCACTGAAATTTAAATTACTTTATTAATATGCTTAAGCACAGTTAATTAGGACCTGTAATTAATTTGACAATTAATTCCCTTAATCTTGTGTCTTCTAGAAGTGTTGTTATAAACATACAACTTTGCATGGCCAATATATAAGTGCCAACTCCACTCTTGCAGTAAGCAAGGCTGCTACATAAGTATTGTTGCACATTTACCTTAAGTAATGTCTCCAGGCAGCAATAATGTGTCTCACTTAGCACACTTGCAACTGCACAGGTCCAAGTTTCTATGATGTTTGGAGGCCAATCAGCTGTTGAAGTCAATCCAAAGATCAACGTGGAGGAACTGAAAGCTTTCACTTCCATGAGCTTATACATAAAGCTTCAGAATGACAACCCACAACCAGCAGCATCTCCAGACAGATTTATTTTGTACCTTGGAAACAAAAATGTAAGAGAATAACCCAGGTTTTTTAATATATACATAAAAAGAAAATTGAAATAGGTTTGAGGTTTATTTGCCCTTGTTTCCTCCTCGCATTATTTCTCCATGTTTCAAAATAAGAGGTGTCTACTATATGACTGTCATTGATTTTGTGACAAGCAAAGAGCAATGGTTCCCTAGATCCCATCCTTGAAACTTCTCACCTCGAACAACGAAGGGTTCTCTCTAAGAAGCAAATGAGACTGCCTATGCAGCGTGCTGCTGTGATTGCCCCACTGCAAAGCCACACTTGCTATCTCCACTGCTGGTAAAACTGCTCTGAAGCAGTTAATGTCACCTGCCTGGCTTCTGTGTGCCATGATTTAATCAAGTTTATACAGCTGACAGTGTCAGTTCCAAATCTGTGAAGTCATGGGCCCACAAGATAAGCAGGTTTCTTTGCCTGTGGCTTGTGCTGCTGTTGTACACTGTGTGCATCACTACTTTGAAACAGATAGAAAGGGCATATATTCTCACCAGCTGAAAGTGTTGTGAAATAAATGTTCTTTAAATTGTGGTTCCTAAAAGAAAAAAAATCACACCTCAGAAGCCAGGTATAATTCTGGCAAGCTGTTACTCAGGAAGGGTAAAGAGTCAGGCTTTTATTTTTAGCTTTTCTAAAAAGAATGTCTATTGAATATAAATCAATGAAACTCCTCTTGACATAATATTTAATTGCAGCATAATACCTAGGCTTCAGAGAAATATTTCTTCATATTTTCTGCATATGACACTGCACACTAAACACTGATGAACAGCTTCCATTGAACATGACCAATTTATGGTCAGAAGACACCTCATGACCTTGTATTTACCTCAGTCAAAATGGACAGGAAGTAAAACATCAGATCTGGCGAAGGAAATCAATTCGAGAATGAAGATTTTGTTTGTTAGCTATATTTAAAGGTGTCATTTAGTCTATCAAAGCTCATCCTTCATTAATGTTCTACATTAAATCTCTTTCAATGTTGTAGCTCTGACATCCTTCTCCATTGCTGTTTTAGGCAAAAAATTACATGGGTCTTGCAATTAAAAATGACAACCTTGTGTACATTTATAACCTGGGGGGCCAAGACGTGGAGATACCTCTGGATGCAAAGCCAGTCAGCACCTGGCCTTCTTACTTCAGCATCATCAAAATTGAGAGGTAAAGTGATATTGCACATTTCTCCAAAATCAAGCAGTCAATAGGAAAAAAAAATATCAAACAGAAAAGGCTGGGTCAGAACTGCTCATCAATAGCCTTCAGTGCTTGGTTCTACTCCT